GATCTGCTTCTCCTGCAGTCTCATTGTCCTGCTGGCTTTGAACCACCTTTTATAAACCGTGTATGTAAGTTGGATGCATTTTGTCTTCACTGTAAACTCGGGGGCTTCTGCTGCTAACAGATGTGCTCCATGGAGACCCAGGACTCTACGTCTACCCCACACTCTTCATCCTTCCTTATGAGGAGACCTTGCACATGCCCTTCTCCCATCTCCTTCTCCTGTCTCTTGAGTGCCATGCTGACTCTGATTTCTGTGCCTGGCAACACATGGGATCTTGGGTTACCATGGCACCTGTCTCAAAAAACATAAGCAAAGAAGAAAGAAAAACCAAAAAATAATCCAAAGAACTCAAAAGTATACTACATGTCCTCAAAAGATTATAGTGTCTGGAAACATTTTTTATAAATAGATAATGATCCATTTCATAATTCCGTAAATCATATACAAAAATCAAAATACTTCTCTATTTACGCACACCCAGTGCGTGTGTGTGTGTGTGTGTGTGTGTGTCTGTCTGTCTGTCTGTCTGTACTAGAGACAGTACAGCTGTGACTTGATGCTTGCTAGCCTACCTTTAGCTTCAGTGAGAGATCCTAACTGAATGGAAGAAGGCTGTTACAGTGCAGCAGGATAGTGGATAACCTCTTGTGGCCTCCATGAAAATGGACACAGGCAGCTGTGCACACAAAGTCATGGATGAACCACATGCCAATAAACATGCACACATGCATGGGTACTGACAGACTGTGGGCTTCAAAAACAATTTAGGCTTATTGTGTCTTACGTGTATGAATGCTTTGCCTGCATGCATTCATGTTAGGGCAGCACGTGAGTACCTGAGGTCAGGTCAGAGCCTCTGGAACTAAAGTTACAGATGGTGATGAGCCACCATGTAGATTCTGGGAACTGAAACCAGATCCTCTGCAAAAGTGACAGTTCTTTTTATCTCTGAGCCATCTTTCCAGGCCCTGGCACTCAAGTGTTTTTTTTTAAATATTTTTTATTTAAATTAGAAACAATCTCATTTTACATATCAGTCCCACTTCCCTATCCCTCCTATCCTCCCATGGCCCCACTAAACCCCCCATCCCACACCCCGGAGAGGGTGGGGGCTTCCATGGGGAATCATCAAAGTCTGTCATATCATTGGGGGCCTAAGCCCTCCTGCAGGTATCTGGACTGAAAGAGTATCCCTCTATGGAGAATGGGCTCCCAAAGTCCATTACTGCACTAGGGGTACGTATTGTTCCACTGCCAAGGGCCCCATGGCCTGACCAGGCCTCCTAACTGTCACCCAAAGTCAAGAGGCCTGGTTTGGTCCTAAGCTGGTTCCCCAGCTGTCAGACTGGGGTCCATTAGCTCCCACTTGCTCAGGTCAGCTGTATCTGTGGGTTTCCCCAGGATGGTCTTGACCCCTTTATCACCCCTTCCTCTGAAGCTGGATTCCAGGAGTTTGGCTCAGTGCTTAGCTGTGAGTGTCTGCTTCTGCTTCCATTAGCTACTGGAGGAAGGCTCTAGGATGCCATAGAAGGTAGTCATCATTTTCATTATAGAAGAAGGGCATTTAAGATAGTCTCTCTCCTATTGTTTAGATTCTTAGTTGCAGTCATCCATGTGGATCTGTGGACATTTCCCTAGTGTCAGATTTCTCTTTAAACCTATAATGACTCCCTCCATTATGGTATCTCTTTTCTTGCTCTCCTCTATTCTTCCCCCCCACACACACACATTCAAATCTTCCTGATCCTTCTTGTCCTCCTCTCCTCCTCTCCCCTCCTCCTCTCCCCTCCTCTTTTTCCTACATCCCTCCCCCTTCCCCGCTCCACTATGTTCCCTATTTGTTCAGGAGTTCTTGTCGCTTTTCCCTTCCTTCTTCAGGGAATCACACACATATATATATATATAGTGAATTATTGGCTAGTAATCCATTGATCTATGTCTAATATGTGTGAGAACATAAACATGTTTGTCTTTCTGTGACTGGGTTACCTAACTCAGGATGGTTTTTTCTAATCCCATCTATTTACCTACAAATTTCAAGATTTCATTTTTTTTCTTCTGAGGAGTACTCCATTGTGTAAATGTACCACATTTTCTTTATCCATTCTTGACTTGAGGGGCATCTAGGTTGGTTCCAGGTTCTGGCTATTACAAATAAAGTTGCTATGAACATAGTTGAATAGATGTCCTTGTTGTATGAATGTGTATCCTTAGAGTAAATTCCTAAGAGTGGAATTGCTGGATCTTGATGTAGACTGATTCCAATTCTCCTGAGGAACTGCCATACTGATTTCCACTGTGGATGTACAAATTTGCACTCCCACCAGCAACAGAGGAGTGGTTGTTCCCATTTCTCCACATCCTCTCCAGCATAAACTGTTATTAGTGTTTTTGATTTTAGCCATTCTGAGAGGTGTAAGGTGGTAGTCAAAGTTATTTTAATTTGTATTTCTCTGATGGTTAAGGAATTTGAGCAAGATATATATGTGTGTGTGTGTGTGTGTGTGTAATTTAAATAAAAAACAAACTTATTTTACATTTAAAACCCAGTTCCCTCTCCCTCCCATCTTCTCATATCCCCCAATGATCCCCCCATCACATCTACCATCCACTCCCCAGGGATAGTAAGTCTTCCAAGGGGGATCATTAAAATCTGTCAAGTCATTTGGTGCAGGGCCTAGAGTCCACCCCTGTGTGTCTAGGCTAAGAAAGTATCCCTCTATGGGAAATGGGTTCCCGCAGTCCGTTCATTTGCACTAGGATGCATCCTGGTTCCACTTCCAGAGGCCCTACAGACTGCCCAGTGCTCCTAACTGACACCCAACTTCAGGGGGCCTGGTTTGGTCCTGTGTTGTTTCCCCAACTGTCAGGCTGGGGTCCATGAGTTCCCACTTGCTCAGGTCAGGGGTTTCTGTAGGTCTTCCCAGCGTTGTCTTGGCCCCTTTGTTCCTTATTCCTCCTCTCTGAAAATGGATTCCAGGAGTGTGGCTCAGTGCTTGGCTGTGGTTCTCTGCTTCTGCTTCCATCAGCTACTGGATGAAGGCTCTAGGATGGCATATAAGGTAGTCATCATTCTCATTATAGGGGAAGGACACTTAAGGTAGCCTCTCCACTATTGCTTAGGGTCATAGCTGGGGTTATCCTTGTGGATCTCTGTACAATTTCCTAGTGCCAGATTTCTCTTTAAAACTATACTGACTCCCTCTATTGATGTGTTGTGGGTTTTTTTTGGTTTTTTTTTTGGTCTCCTATAATCCTCTCCTCACTCAATCTTCCTGATCCCTCACATTCTCCTCCCCCTTCCTCCCCTTTTTCTTCCTCCTACTTCCCTTAACCCTCCCCACATACTCCTCACTTGTTCAGGGGCTCTTATCCCTTTCTATTTCACTGGGGAACCCTGTGGGTCTCTCTTATACTCCTTATTTCCTAGCTTCTCAGGAGGTATGAACTGTGGGCTGGTAATCCTTTTCACTATGTCTAGAATCCATATATGAATGCATACATTCCATGTTTGTATTTCTGTGACTTAGTTGCCTCATGTAGAAAGGTTTCTTTTTAGCTCCATTCATTTTCCTGCAAATTTCAAAATTCTATTGTTTATTTTTTCCAATGAGTAGTACTCCATTCTGTAAATGTACCACATTTTCTTTATTCATTCTTGACTTGAGGGGCATCTAGGTTGCTTCCAGGTTCTGGCTATTAAAAATAATGCTGCTATGAACATAGTTGAATAGATGTTCTTGTATGAATGTGCATCCTTTGGGTATATGCCTAAGAGTGCTATTGCTGGAGCTTGAGGTAGACTGATTCCCATTTTATGGAGAAATCACCATATTGATTTCCAAAGTGGCTCAAAAGCTTGCACTCCCACCAGCAATGGAGAAGCATTCCCCTTTCTCCACATCCTCTCCAGCATAAACTGTCATTGGTGTTTTTTATTTTAGACATTCTGATATCTCAGAGTTGTTTTGATTTGCATTTCCCTGATGGCTAAGGACTTTGAGAACTTAAGGGTCTTTTAGCCATTTTAGATTCCGATATTGAGACTTCTCTATTTAGTTCTGTACTCCACATTTTAATTGGATTATTTGGTGTTTTGGTGACTAGTTTCTTGAGTTTGTTTTATACTTTGGAAATCAGCCCTCTGATTGATGGGGTGAAGATCTTTTCCCATTCTGTGGACTGTCCTTTAGTCTTGCTGACTTGTCTTTTGCCTTAGAGAAGCTTCTCAGTTTCAGGAGGTCCCATTTATTAATTGTCAGTTTCAGTGTCTGTGCTACTGGCATTATGTTCAGGAACCTGTCTCCTGTACCAATTCATTCAAGGATACCTCCCACTTCTCTTTCAAGATGCTCAGTGTGTCTGGATTTACTTTGAAGTCTTTACTCCATTTAGACTTAAGTTTTGTGCATGGCGATAGGTGTAGCTCTATCTGCAATCTTGTATGTGTCCCATCCAGTTATGCCAGCATCATTTTTGAAGGTGCTTTCTTTTTTCCATTGTATAATTTTAGCTTCTTTTTCAAAAAGCGGGTGTTCATAGTGTATGGATTAATATCAAGGCCTTCGATTAAATTCCATTGGTCTGCCTGTCTGTTTTTGTGCCAATACGAAGCTATTTTCATTACTATAGCTCTATAGTCAGTAACGGTGATGGCTCCAGAAGATCCTTTATTGTACATGGTTGTCTTGACTACCCTGGGTTTTTTTCCATATAAAGTTGAGTATTGTTCATTAATTCACCATTGAATTAAACTCCCTGGAAGTCTGAGTGGGGAAAGGGATGAGAAGTTAGAACAAATGAGGGACAGCACTGAGGATGTTTGAAAAGGCTAAAAGGAAAAATATGAGATCAAATATATATGCATATATTCATACAAATGTGTACAGGGAATTATCCCAGAAGCCATCCATATAAGTATGCTGTGTAAGCTAAGCAGTGTTCTCTCAGGAAGCCATGACACACAGCACCTGTGATTAACAGTCATTCTGTCTTCCTAGGTACTCAGAATCCCCCAGTTATTAACGAGATTTTTTGTAGAGAGGATGAGTTCGAACCTCATAATGAGGTAAGGTGACCTTTCTATGACTGAAATAGAAATGTTGTTGTCTGAATTTTCTATTTCATTTGAATTTGGTTATTGAATTATGACAGTGTGGGTTATACATACTGTACTCTGATATCTGGAATAGTAGAACAGTCCCTTGCCAATGGACACTTTGTTGGAAAGAGCATTTTTGAATGGCACAGTCAGGGTACAGAATAGATGCTATCACCTGTGCCTCCAGGTGACAATGCTTCTTCCTTGAATTAACTATTTTGTGGTTGGTGACTGAAAGGGGCTTAACATACATCATTCATGAAATGATCATTGGTTTGTCACAATATCTTTCTTTTTGCTAGTCATTAATGTTGGCAGTAATCACCATGCCTTTTCAATGATGAGGAAGGAAAATAAAGACATGTGCCTCCATGTGACATGATGTTACCCTTATAATGTCTCTGTTTCCATAATTTCAGGGAGCCTGGGAAGAATACGAAAGTTGTAAGTATTGTTTAACTCCTTGGTTAATGTAAATGCTAACGTAGGTATGGTGTCCCTTACTGTCTTCTCTTTGAAAGGCAAACCAACTTGTTATTTCTGGAAGGAACAAAACAGTCAACATGATTTTTTTAAGGTGTTCTGGATATCCGTTTATACTCAAGTTTCTGCACAGATTTCTGTGAGCCTGTGTGCATAGTGAATGGTAGGGTTTTGTGTGCTTCAATGTCTTGTGATTCTGAGTGCATGTGACTCAGCGTGAGGTGATAGTTAATGGGGGACATACTTCATACACACCTAAAATGGACTTAATTAGCTCATCTGGTCTTCGTGGCATTTGTGTCTGGGCATTGTTATAACCCCTGCTTCAGAACAAAAATGAAGAATCCCTGACTAAAATTCATACTCAGAAATTGAAAACATGAATCTATCTGGGAAATCCAATGCTCTTGTTTCCATGATTGAGCCTTGAATTCACTTAAAGTCTGAGAGCATTGTCAGCAGGACTGAGAGTTTTTCATGTGGTTATGAAATGCTGTCCATCCGTAGCGCCATGTCGTGTTAACTACATACATAAACTAAGCCATTTCCACCGATGCTTGAAGTCACTCATGAAAAGTCCACAGACTCTCTGCTGTAGCAGTCATTCCACACAGACCTTCTGAGTTAAAACTAATCATGAAAGACAAGTGGCTTACTTCTGTAGATTTTGGGCTCATGTCATAGAAGCTGGCCCAAAAACATTAAAAATTTTGGAAGTATTATAGTACACTTTTTTTGTTGTAGGCTTGGTCTATATTTCTTTTTTTCTCAATGTATGTTTTTATTTAATTAGGAACATGAATATTTTACATGTCAGTCCCAGCTCCCTCTCATACCCCTCCTCCCTTGTCTCTCCACCAGCTCTCCAAACCCCCATTCAATCCCCACATCATTCCCCAGGGAGGGTGAGACACTCCTTGGGGGGATCTCTAAAGTCTGTCATTGCATCCTGGGCAGGTCCTAGGCCCTTCCCCATGTGTCCAGGCTGAGAGAGCATCCCTCTATTTGAAATGGGCTCCCAAAGCTCATTCATAAACCATGGTGAACACTGGTTTACTACCCAAGGCCCCAGTGATATCTGTGGCCTCCTCCCTGGCACTACATTCATGGAGTCTGGATCAGTCTCCTGTTGGTCTCTCAGCCATCAGTCTGGGATTCAAGAGCTCGCCCTTATCCGGTTAGCTGTCATTGTGAGTTTCATCATCATGGTCTTGACCCCTTTTCTTATCACTCCTCCATCTCTGTCACTAGTTTCCAAGAGTTCAGTTCAGGGTTTAGCTGTGGGTATCTGTCTCTGCTTCCATCAATCCCTGGATGAAGGTTCTAGGATGGCATATAGGATACTCATCAACCCTATCATCAAGGAGGGACCATTACTGTAGTCTCTCCACTATTGTTTAGTTTGCCAGTTAGTGTTATCCTTGTAGAACTCTGGAGATCTCACTAGAGTCAGCTCACTCTTCAAGCCTATAATGACTTGATCTATTATGGTATCTCTCATCCTGCTCTCCTCTATTCTTACCTCGACTCAACCTTCATGCTCCCCCTTGCCTTCTTCCCCCCTCCTTTTATCCCCCTCTGTTTTTCTTGGTTCCCTCTCCCCTCCCCCGATGTTATCAATGTGCTCAGGAAATCTTGCCTCATTCCACTCCTGTGGTGTATCATGCATCTCTCTTTGGAACCTCCCTGTTTCCCAGACTCACTGGCACTGGGATTGTAGGCTGACACTCCTCTGATCCATATCTAAAATCCATATATGAGTGAGTACATACCATGTTTGTCTTTTTGTGTCTGGGTTACTGCACTCAGGAAGGTTTCTTCTAGTGTCATCCATTTGCCTGCAAATTTCAAGATTCCATTGTTTCTCTCTGCTGAGTAGTACTCCATTGTGTAAATGTACCACATTTTCTCTATCCACTCTTCAGTTGTGGGGCATCTAGGTTGCTTCCAGGATCTAGCTATTACATATAATGCTGCGATGAACATAGTGGAACAGACATCCTTGTTGTGTGAATGGGAATCTTTTGGGTATATGCCTAAGTGGAATTGCTGGGTCTTGCCGTAGACTCAGACCCATTTTCTGGAGGAATCTCCATATTGATTTCCTTAGTGGCTGTACTAGTTGGCACTCCCACCAGCAGTGAAGGAGTGTTCCCCTTTCTCCACATCCTCTCCAGCACAAACTGTCATTGGTGTTTTTGATTTTAGTCATTCTGACAGGAGTAAGATGATATCTCAGAGTTGTTTTGATTTGCATTTCCATAATGGCTAGTGATGTTGAGCACTTTCTCAAGTGTCTCTCAGCCATTTTATATTCCTCAACAGTGAATTCTCTATTTAGTTCATTCCCTCATTTTTAATTGGATGCTTTGGTGTTTTGGAGACTTGTTTCTTGAGTTCTTTGTAAATTTTGGAGATCAGCCCTCTGTCAGATGTAAGGTTAGGGAATATCTTTTCCTAATCTGTGGGGTGCCTTTTTGTCTTACTGACTGTCCTTTGCCTTACAGAAGCTTGTAAATTTCAGGAGGTCCCATTTATTAATTGTCTATCTCAGTGTTTGTGCTACTGGTGTTATATTCAGGAAGCAGTCTCCTGTACCAATTTCTTCAAGGGTACCTCCCACTTTCTCTTCTAAGAGGTTCAGTGTGGCTGGATTCATATTGAGGTCTTTGATCCATTTAGACTTAAGTTTTGTGCATGGCGATAGACATCGATCTATCTGCAGTCTTCTACATGCCAGCAGCCAGTTATGGCAGCACTATTTGTTGAAGATGCTATCTTTTTTGCTTCTTGCATAATTTTAGCTTCTTTGTCGAAAATCAGCTGTTCATAGATTTGTGGATTAGTCTCAGGGTTTCAATTTGATTCCATTGGTCTACCTGTCTATTTTGTAATACACAGCAGGTGTTAACAATTGCACATTCTGAGCTTTAAATTAACTTTTTATTTTTTGAAATTATATTGTTTTCCTCTTTTCTCCCTCTGACTATTCCCATACCCCACCCCCTTTCACCCTCCTTTCCTCCAACTGTAGATTATAGTTGTGTGGGGTGTATGTGTGTGTGTGTGTGTGTTTTCTTAAATGTGTGGATACAGTCCACTCTTTCCATATAATGTTATTTGTATTAGGAGACTTCAGAGCTGACAAGTTGTTGGAAAACCAATTGGGCTGTTTCCTGGGGAAAAGGAATTTTCTCCCACTCTCCAAAAATTTTTGGTTACAGGTCTACTGTTATGGATGGATCAATTCAGGCTGGGTACCCCACAATCGCTTGTTTTCTGCATTTTTATTAGTTGTGGTTTCCTATTATGATCTCATTCTGTTGCAAAGAGAAATTGTTTTTCTTTGATAATAAAAGCTACACATATCTGTGAGTATAAGGATACACATTTGGAATACAGTTTTAGCCTAGCTGTGATGGTGCATGCCTTTAATCCCAGCAACTGGGAGGCAGAGGCAAGTGGATCTCTGTGAGTTCGAAGGCCAGCCTGGTCTACGGAGTGAGTTCCAGGTCAACCTCCAAAGCTACACAGAAACGCTGTCTTAAAAAACCAAAACAAACAAAAATAGAAAACAGTTAGAAATTATGCTGCTTTCATGCATTTTTTAATACAGGACACACTTGTCGCAGACTAGCCTCTATCTCACAATATATTTGAAGCTGATCTTGAACTCCCGAGTGCTGGTATTATAAGTATATGCCACAAAGTATGGATCAGCTGGATTTATTTTCTATTGGGTAAAGTAGATTTAATGAAGGAACAAGAATCCCAGGTATCATTTTGTTTTGTTTTTTTTTTTCTTTTCTTGAACATCCTCCTACACTGGAGGATGGCCCAGCAGCAGCCCTAGCTATCTCCATACACTGCTGTGCACATTGACACTGTTCCCTGAGTGTTTTCTGATCATTAGCAGCCAACATCCTTACAGTTACTCTGTTTTCTCCTAGATTTTCCTAGTGGTTTACGTGTTTCAGACTCTAAGCCTACGGTAAGAACAACTCTGTATGTGTTCTGTAGAAATACAGCTCTATTTAGGTTCCATGTATGTTGTTGTTTGAAAGACAGTTTCCTTGTGGAGCTCAGGGGTTTTCGGCCAGTGGGTCTCCAGCTCTCTGGTGTCATTGGCGTCACCATATCCATTAACATTTAATCACAGAAGCAGTTTCCTCAGAGATGATTTTCCCTATTCTCTTAAGGACTGTGTGCTTGCAGTGTCAACAGACTTGGAAAGTACAGTGTAGGAAAGGCTCCTTCATCTCTACCAGTGTGGTTTGCAACACCAGTAGAGCTATATGCCCGTTGTTCCCTAAGTCACCCAGCAAAAGCCAGGCTATTGTAAAGTATTCAAAATAGTCCGATCCTGACAATGCTTTTTATAATTGCAGCTTAATTCTACAGTGGAAGGCAGTTGTAAGTACCTGAGACCCTCCTTTGTTCAAGAAATGCTTAGTGGTTAATTCCTGAGAAGCCTGACTCAGGATTCTTATTGGGAAGGAGGGTTAAAGGTTAAATGGGAGAAAATGATTCTGCCATAGCTCTTCCATGGAAAATCCCAAGAAGAACTAGAGTCAATATTGTGTGACTTCACCTGGTATACTCTATCCTGATGTTCTTGTAGATATTGCCCAGGTGGGTGACACAGATGTTGAAGATCAGCAGAAGCTGGATAGCAAAGAGAGTTTCCCTGGTAAGTAATAGATCCCCAGTTGGAATCCATATTAGAGGACCCAGGAAACAAAATCAAGTTTTACCTTCTGCTTTGCAGGCAGAGGCACTGTAAAAGGTATTGGTGCGATGAAGATTTGTATACTTCTTCTAGGCATAATGGTAAAGAGGGGTAGAAAAAGCACAACAAACCCCACTGTCAATTAAAAATAAGCCCTGGAGTGGGAGAGATGACTCTTTGATTAAGAGCACTGACTCCAATACCAGAGGGCACGATTTGAGTCCCAGAACCCATATGGTAGTTCACAACCATCTGTAACTGAGTTCCATGGTATGTTATGCCCTGTTCTTGTCTTGGCTGGCACTGCATGCCTGTAATATACAGGCATTCATATGCAGGCAATACAGATTAAATGAAGTTAAAATTAAATATATGGTCTTTAGCAGAACACACATCTTTCTTGCCTCTGTCACCGCCGATACTCCTAGTCTTTGTTTGTAATTAGCAGCTCTCCTTGGAAATTGTGTGTATTGTAACGTATTCTGGAAAGGGGAGTACATCTGATGATCACTTTTGATTGGTGAGTTGTGACAGGAGGAACTGACAGTAGAGCACAACTCTCTATAGTCAATGTCAAGAACCTGAGTACAAGGGACTAGTAGTGTGGACCCTATATTGCAGAAGAAGCAAATCCTCTTCTGGCTGGTCCTGCAGGGCTTGGAGCTATACCTCCATGTTTCTATTCAGTTCTTTCTACAAAGGGAACTCTATGGGAGTGGTGGCAGATTGAGTTGTCTGGCCTTACTGCAGCACCTTCTGTAACAATCAGGGAACCAATGGAAAGCTGAGACTGATCTGATGTTAGTGAATGAGGCTGTGTCTTCTATAGGCAGAATTGAATAAGCCACTGTGTTTACTTTTTTCCAGATGCTTTTGAGGTACAGCACTGGGAGCTGCGCAAAATATCAAGTACTGTCATCCCTGGTGGGTAACTGCATTGCATTCTGAGACTATTCTGTCATGTGGGCATGTTGTCATTGGGGATGGGGACAGAGGGAAGAATGTATATGAACTCATTTCCAGCCTGTGCTGCTCACACTAGACTTACTTTAGGCCAAATGAGTCAAAGGACACATTGACATTTGTCTTGGAGCTTCTGACCTAATACTTGAGGATGGATCTAGTAGTCTCTGGTCCAGCTATGGCTTCATTTTCAGATATTCCCCATTCATAATGAGTAAACAAGTTCCTAGGATTTAAGGTGCATGGCTATAGGGAGAGATCTGCATACCCTTAGTGTTGACCTCGCCCCCTTTTTTGTAGTCTCAGGTACATAGAACCTACAGGGGACAAAAGAGCTAGCGGAAGGAGATGCTTTCTCTCTCTGGGTTCAGGTTGCCTTCCAGAGAACAGCATGTTGACTTTTGGTTCTCAACTTTCTTGGCTTCTCACATAAGTGATTTCTCCCTCAATAAAATGACATTGGACATCCCTATTTTGTGTAGCTTAATATTTCCACATTACATGTCCATTGTATTTTCTCTCGTGTGTTCTCTGGCTTGTCCTCTCTATGTCTGAACCTCACTTTCCTGCCCTTTCATCAGATTACCTTGCCACATCTGCCTGTGTGCTCTGTCCTCTGAGCTATCGGGGACTTCCATGTGCTTCATGCTTAGTGGAGTTCTCACCTGTCTCTGATGATCTAGAGTGAGTCAAAGGAGTGTCTTCTAGGCACCCCTTGCAGTAGGATGAGGGTTTGTCTTCATTGCAAGTATGTCTGCGTGCCCTGCATACTTCTGCTTCTAATCTATTGGTTCTGCCTTGTATAAACTCAGGGACTCCTTTCTAATCAATATGTCCATAGACATAGAGCTCACTTCACTGCACACATTATTTCACCACTCTTCTGTCCCTTACCCAGAGCCTTCTCCACCCTCTTCCCTATTTCCTGAGGGAAATGGTCTCAGCACTTCATGCCCAGTCATCCATAAACCTGTGCCCTACTACCTTGTTCCTGATTCAGCAATCTGGGTTGTATTGCCCACCTCTTGTGACCAAACCTGAACTTGATTCCCTGGATTCATTCCTGTTTCGTGTCTGTGGTCAGTCGTCTTCCCCTTCCCTTGAAATGTGAACTCACCTGAGTCCTTTACAAAGGTAATGTGACAGTCAAAACCCAAACTGGAACTGTATACAATTGCACATACTTAGGGACATGCCCATAAATCACACTTGAGTCTTAATAGATCATCTGATTCACATATTTCCTTGTGGAAAAGAGGTGAAACGTTGTTCTTGCCTAGCTGAGGAAAACATGGGAGCTGAACAGTGTGTGAGCAGGAATGCTAAGCACAATACAGTTAGCAAGCAGAGCTTTGATTGTGGTGTGAAAGGAGACCCAAAGGGGACATCCAGAAGTTATAAACAAACGCCAAAACAGCCAATAGAAAATTGTCCCGAACAATGCTGATAGCATGGAAGATGGCATACGTGGCAGCAGTCACTCACCGAGGATGGTCAACTTGATCCTTGACAGAAAGACCCAACAATGTCCCATAGCTTTGTTCCACATCTCCTTCCCTATTCTGAACCTCTTCCTGCTCTCTCCCTAGTGCTAAATATATTGTACCTAGCGTCACCTAAATCTGGAGATGAAGAAACTGATTGCAAAAGGAAGAAGAGGAAGAAGAGGAGGAGGAGGCGCTACTATTGATAAAAGCCTCCAGCGTCGCCCCAGTGAGTACTGCACATCCAGAGGCTTCATGAGATTAAAAGCAAGGGGGGCAGGGGGACAGAGAAATAAAGACCGAGCCAAACAGTCAATCCTCCAATTCACTTGATAGCAGAGCTTCCCCAGGATAAAGAATTGCTGTACCAAAGGCTTGTTGGGTTCAGGGGATATTGGGAGTAGAGACATTGATATAGGAGAGGCTATGTCAGACTACTCCATTTCTATAATGAATCCAGCATCTTTGTGCCAGCATTCACCTACCCTCCTCTTAGCCTGTCTGTGACCTTCAGTACAGGAACCTGGGGGTAGCACTGTTGAAGACGGCACAGAGGAGTGCTGCTTCCTGGTTTGCTCCTCATGGCTTGTACAGCCTACTTTTTCATAGAATCCAGAATCAACAGCCTATGGATGGCACCACCCACAATGGAATGGGCTCTCCTCCATCAGTCACTAATGAAGAAAATGCCCTACAAGCTTGCCTGCAATCTAGTCTTGTGTGTGCAAATTCTCAAATGATCCTCCCTCCTCCCAGATGACTTTAAATTGTATCAGCTCAACATAAAACTAGGCAGGACTGGGGACATGAGAACGGAAGGTAAATGCATAGGTCAGGTCATGCAGGTCCCTATGAACTGTAAGCTGGGGAGCAGGGTTACTGGTGTCAAACGTATATGAGTGGTATTGGGAGAAAGGTATGGGAGGTGAGGCTGAGAGATGAGAAACCTGACCATTCCACATTCAGTAACACCTTTTACAAGGGAGAGGAAACCTGCTGGACAGAGAAGAGCAATTGTCCAAGAACTCTTTGCACTTTGAGGCAGCAATTCCCAAAGGTCTGTAGTGGCATCCAGTTCAGAAACCACAACTCTGCCTTGCCAGGGGCTTCTTCAGGTATGAGTTACTGCAGGCATTGATAGAGGAACAGAGACACACAGGAGATGCAGCCACATTTTGGAAAATGCATCCCAGGCCAAGGGAACCGTGCACATAGCAGAGTCCTCGTGAAATAGATGTTCTCAGACTATGATGGTTGGGCAGCCTAGGCAGGGCTGTTACACCACTGCAGAGTCTCATCTCTACTGAAATAACACTTTGTTTCTCCTCTGTTCATAGGCTCAAAATATCTTTTATAAATGGTGACCATCAATAGCTGGAGGCTGATAAGTATTAACCAATTATTATAAAGACCCCATGATCCCAGAACCTACTTTTTCCACGACATAGAATCCAGGACAACAGCTTTATCACCTGTTAAACCGCTGGTAAGATCCATGACTCCTGCTTTACTCTTTTCTCAGCCTCTTTAGAATCTCAAACCCAGCAAGGCAGTGCTTGCCAGCTCTTTCTCTCTGTCGTCCCAAACATGCTGGAAGAAAAGCCTAGCTGTGTTGATTCATTTTGTCAACTTGACACAAGCTAGAGCTACTTGAAAGGTAGGAACTTCAACTGAGAGAATACTTCCACAAGGTCAAGATGTAGGACATTTTCATAGTGATTGATAGAAGAGAACCAAGCCTATCATGGGTGGTGCCTCCTTCGCAGATGGTTCTGGGTTCTATAAGAAAGAAGAAGCAGCAAGCCAAGACAATAATCAGCACCCCTCCATGGCCTCTGCATCACCTCTTGCTTCCTGATTCCTACCCTGTTTGAGTTCATTCCTCACTCTTTTGATGATGAACTAGAACTGGAGCAAAATGAACCCTTTCCTCCCCAAGTTGTTTTTGGTCCTGGTGTTTCATCAAAACAATAGAAACCTTAACTATAAGACTCATAATTAATTGCATGATAAATAAGACTTTGTGTTCCCACTTCCCAAAATATTTGTGTTTTAGCTAGAGAACATCACACCATAGAAATAGGTTGCACATGGTATTTGTTTTGTGTATGTGTGTGTGTCTGTGTGTGGGGGTATCTGTGTGTGCGTGTGTGTATGTGTGTGTTCTTTGCTGAGCTCCCCTATTGGAAGCATTAGTAAAAGCAGCATTGGAACAAGTGGGCATGATCTTTAGAGACTACAAAAGGGCACTCCAGAGGCCAGCCTGGTTCATTCTCCAGACAGAGTGTTTCTATAAGGTCAGGCTGGTAGACTGCTAGATCAACCACCTCCAGACATTGAGGATTGGATCCCAGAGCTGAGCTGATGTTGTTGTCTCCTAGTTAAACACTGCTGAGGCCAGTGACAATTCCTTGGGTAAGTACACACTTTGTAGGAATTTTCAGCTCATTACCAAATGGAGGTTTCTTTTTAGAAAAGACGTTTTGCTATTCATCTAAAAGGATTGTGATCCCATTTGGTCATCCTTTTGAAAATTTAATGTGAGTTACAACTACAGATAATTTTAGATCTTACATACTCACCCTTTCATTGCCCTGGTGTAATATGCTCAGAGGTATTTACCTGCTACTTTTCAAATTTGATCATGTTTAAATTCTTAAAATATTGTTAGAGCATTTTTCTATTTAATTCAGAGCAACAAAAGGGATCACTACCTCTAAATTAAGTGTACACATATAATATATAAAATTAAATGCCTTGAATGGATTGAAAATTACAATAATCTAGGGATATTTTATATGAATATGTATAAAAGCAAAAATTCAAGATTTAGTAAAGAAATTTTTCTTCGTCTTTCTCTGTTGTAAAGTATAGGAAAATACACAGTATGAAATTAAGTATGAAATACTGCTATAGTAGCTTACCATCTTGGAAGAAGTGTCTATGCCTTCTACTGATTGATATATGAGGTTGGAGGTGTACATGGGACTAAGTTAGAGAAAACTCATACACAGGACTGTATCACAATTTGAATCCAATTTGTGCGTCTCTTGCTTGTCTGGAGTCAATAATAGCAATTTTGCTTTTCTTCCTTCAGAAAGTGGAGTCAGGCATTTCCCAAGCCTTCTGGAAAGAACTCACCGGCTTCATCTGCTTGGGCTGCCCCACAGACCCAGTCACCATAAGCTGTGGCCACAGCTTCTGCCGGGCCTGCCTCCACCTTTCCTGGAAAGACATCAAAGTTACTGTCCATTGCCCTATGTGTAGGACACCATGCCAGGAAAAGGACTCCAAAACCAACATTTTCCTGAAGAAGGTGGTGTCCATTGCCTTGCCAAACAAGCCTAGCTCTTAAAGTCCTTGAGCTTCAAGAGCATGAGTACATGACCCACAAGGATATCAAGCAGATTTCCTGTGGGGAGAACAGGATCTACCTCTGTGAACGCTGCTCTGTCTCCCATGAGCACAGTGTTCACACACAGCCCTATTGGAGCAGCTCCTGAGGTAAGTGATGCTTGAGAGAGAATGTGAAAGCTGAAGAGGGAGGCTTAGCAGACCACAGCAAGACGCTTGTCCTGATTATGAGGAAGCCGCTGTTTTTGGGATACTGGCACTTTATTAACAGCTAATGAAGAAAGGGTGACTGTGAATAGAAACATCCCTTGGGAGACTTATGGTGTAAAAATCATTTCTACTTTGTGATGCATTATCCCCAGGAAGGAAATAACTACATTCATATGTTTTGAAAGTGTCTGTGGCTGGAGACTAAATTAGAAAAATGCATTGTAGTCAGCTAGAGAGAAGCATCTGGGAATCCCAATCTTATGCAAATTACCCAGACATTAGTCATAATTATTAATCACTTTACCTAAACAAATGGGTATGCTGTGTTTTATGGTTCTATGCTCTATAATCCAAAATTTATAGTTACCAAAAGTAAAAAAAGAAATTGATCCTTCTACTTTCGTTAAAGTAATTGCATTTGTGGCCCAATAGTGTGTCTATTAATCAAAAGTTGATATTTATTGTTTCTTACAGGAGAGACTTCTAAAACAAATAGCATCTCTATAGGAGAAGTTCCAAGAAAATCAGGATAATCTAGAATCAGAGGATAGTATGATAATTCAGTGCAGAGTTAGTAGGAGATTCATGCTTAAAATCTGGATGAGGCAGATATTTTTCAGTTTGTCATTCAAGAGTTAAATATAAGGTATTAGGTGTGATACTAGGAAACATTTTTCTGCTGGCTTCTCCTTCTAAGTGTAAGATATAATTCTGCATGTGGAAAGAATGATCTGTCTGTGTGGCAAAGGAGTCTGAGACTAATGAGTGAATTACTTACAGTTCAGCACACTGGATTAGACTCTATGACTGCACCATGAATTCCAGTGACTACCTGCAGAGGTTCATATTTGAGTAAACACATGAATTGTCAATCAATACCTTTTCTTCAGGCACCTCTGGGTTTCTTATATAGGTGAAAATTTTTAAGGTGTGATTGTCTGTGTAATTAATAAAGAAGAAATTAAGGAAACCAAAGAATTTACATATTCTGAAAAGTGGGGAGATTAAATCACAGTCAATGTATCAGAGTGACAGAAGTCATTTGTCAAATTTAGGCATAGAAGTGTGCAATGAGAAGGATAAAATACATTGTCAGTGTGACTGAGAATGTCCCTTTTGTTCCAAACTACTTGACTCTGTGGGAAAAAATAATCAGGACATAGTACAGGTCATGGCACACAGTTCCCTGGGAAGAGGACGAGCAGCATATTGAGTGTATGACACATGAAGTTCAGTGTGTTGTAGAGAGACTCAGGGAAGTGAAGCCATGATAGTCCAAAAGACCAATCAACTAAGAGAAATGCTCAGAGTTGATAGCAGTGTCCCGAAACCATCCTTGGGACGGCTGCAGGTGAGCATGGAGGAGTGCAGGAGATACTTTATTGTCTGGGTCCACCTGATGATTGTTGTACTGGATTGCTTTCAATATTCCCTGCATTCATAATAGGGGGTTTCCTTATCAGGAGTAATCTTGAAAGACTAAGCTTTCTGAATTTATAATTTCTCAAGGAATATGTCTAATTTTATGCTTTTGTAGTTTTCTCTGTAACTGGGAATTCAGCGGTTGCTGTCTCCAGCACTCCATTGCCTCTAATGGATATTGAGCACAATTTGAAAGAAAGCTATTCCTTAATTTCTTCTGTCTGAAAGCTGTGTTTTTGAGAGTTTGTTAGGAGCTTGGGATTTTGGGCCAGAGTTCTAGTCTGTGTTGCATGGTAGCCCCCAAATGACAATAAGCCTCAGGCCCCATACCCCTCTAACCTGACAATTCTGAATTTACAAGAATCAGGCACTATGCAGGGGTGAGGCCATACTTTTGAAGTAGCTTAGTGAAAGTATCCTATCCCTGTGCTTTGAGGACAATCTCAGGGAATGTCACTCTTATAAAGAGTTGGGGGTTCTAAAGCAATATACAATCATTACCCATATCCAGAGGGAGCCAAATACCTTGTCTATTGCCAGAATTTAAAGGAAAAAAATCACAGAATTACATCAGTTAGGCATAGGTAAGATCCTGATTGGTTGACATTTGGGGAACATCTAGGGAGTTTCCCAGAGTCAGGGCAACTGGTTTGTTAGTATTTTTGATTGTTAGTATTTTTGGCTACAGATGGGAGCATTAGTGGTTTCTATGGCTTTGTCATTTACTTTCAGGTAGCCTGTTTCACTGGTTGGTGCTGGGAGGGAGCATTCTGTGGTTTCTCTGTCTCTTGGAGGTGGTTTTTTATCAAACAAATTTTACTTTCATGGTCTGATTTCATCAAGAATTTGAATTCTGTTAATCATTGGCATTATCCTGAGACATAAATATATATTTTCAGGGAGGATAGGTATGATGGAAACTGACATTTATATGAAATTTATAAACAGATATTTTAGGCCATTCCTTCAGAAATCTAAGGTTTTCTTTGCAGGATCTGCATGACATATTCCAAAGGTGAGCTTATTCATCAGTGTGAGTCATGATATCCCAGAGCTGGAGAGATGGCTCAGCAGTTAAGAGCACTGACTGCTCTTCCAGAGGTCCTGAGTTCAATTCCCAGTAGCCACATGGTGGTTCACAACCATTTGGAATGAAATCTAGTACCCTCTTCTGGCCTTCAGGCAGACATGCACACAGAACTCTATATACATAATAAGGAATAAAGCTTTAAAATGTTTACATATAATATCCTGAAATAAGGTATAAAATTGACAAAGCTGCCTTAGCAAAGTGCTGGTGTACTTTATACAGAAAATATTCTGTTTGTATATGATGTGTTTGAGGTTATTTTCATGGATATGATTTGTGTTCTCATTAACAAGAAAGTGTGTTTATTTTTATATATTATTGAAGAAGTATATATAATGAAGCCTGATGCTAAATTTTCCAGTTTTAAAAACATAAACCCTGAGGGCCATTGGCTGTATATTCCTGGTAGCAAAAGACAGGGGCAGGAAACACTAGGAAACAGGTTGGTAGCAGGAAGTGCTTCAGATTGAGCATTGATGCTCATTGAGGAGGAAATTTTAATGTCTCCTGATCATGGGGGCTCACTATGATATCAGAAAACATGTATTGTGAAACATGTTCAGATAAGTGTTTGTTTCTTTTTAATTTGATTTGTGGTAATTGTGTGTGGGAATGTGTGGGTGTGTACATGCACATGTGTGGAGATCAGGGGACAACTTTCAGGAGACAGTCTCCTTCACCATGGGTTCCATGGATTAAGCTCAAGTTGTCAGGCTTATATAGAAAGGGATTTATCCCTGAGCCATTTCACTGAACCTGGAGTGGGGTTTTTCCTAATCATTGTGAAGATGTCTTTAGCACCTGGAAGATCAATGTCATCTTCTCTTGCAGGAGTGAGTCAGTGCAGTTGAGCATGCTCCAGATTACAAAACCAGAACTCAGTGCCTTACCCATCACCAAACTGGCACAATAGTGCAACTGCTAACAAGGTGAGTGTGAACAATGATGAAATGACCAGAGGTACTCTTCAACAGTGAGATAACCTTTGCAAAAACAAATGTTTTAGCTCCCCAGAAAGAAGTCTACATTGTAATCGCATTTAATCACCCAGTAACTTTAGATACAAACAAACATAAATATCATGTTGTGTCTGTTGGGACATAAGGAATGGCAAATTAAGGACTGTCTAATTCCAATTAAGTGTACTCAGTAATAGAAATATTTCATTATTTTCCCCAAAATGTTTTAGCAGCTATGTTCTTATAATGTATTACACTCTTAGATTAAATAAAAAATAGAAGATATAGTGGTGCACACTTGCAATTCCAACATAATAAAAACAAAGGAAGATTGCCAATGAGTGTGAGGACATTCTGGTCAACATAGTGAGTTCCATACTAGTCATGGATAAATAACAAGACTTTATCTTTTTTAAAAAACTGAAAAAGAAAAATCATAAAATAAACAGACAAAGCCATGTGTCATGAGCAATGAAACAAAACAAGTTGATAAGACATGAGACAGTGTCTGAATCCCTGTCCTAGATCTAAATGTCAACTGCAACCTCCCAGGGAAAGAGGTAAAGGAGGACAATTACCACCAGGGACACCCTTCTAAAGCATATTTAGCTCTTCCTATAGTATAAATTTGATTAATTACATGGAAATCACACCAGTGTGAAAGCGATGACTCCTCACATCTTAGGAATAATTTTTTGCGTAGACCCATGAGAACAGTGTTTGCCCTCACTGTAATACACACATCTTCCCATTGCCAGGTGAGATTAAAAGTCACTAGAGTGAGGCTCCCTCCTTTACAGCATCTACGAAGTTTGAGAAACGCTTCCATCATGCTACCACTCTGTTTCTTGTGGAAATCCTTGACTAGATGTATCTAAGCCACAGTTAACCCCTAGTCTTATCCTGTTTGAAAATCCAAGAAGATTCTAGGACCTGTCTCATCTGAGAAATGTAAATGGCATTTTAATTATAAAGTTGACTCTCCTTCCCCCTCCTCTTCTCCCCTCCCCAGTCTCCTATTACTCTCTCCCCTCACCCCATAGGGAATAATAGGTTCAGGAAGGTCAGTTGGGGAAAGAATAGAGAGGGAAAGCCAGGAAAGAGGTACCATGATAGAGGGAGGCATTATGAGGTTAACGAGAAACCTGGCACTAGGGATATTCCCAGGAGTCCACAAGGTTGAACCCAACTAAGAATCTAAACAACAGTGGAGAGGCTACTTTAACTACCCTTCCCGTATAATCAGATTGATGACTACCTTAATTGTCATCCTAGAGCCTTCCTCCCATAACTGATGGAAGCAGAAGCAGAGATTCACAGCTAAGCACTGGGCTGAAAACCTGGAGTCCAGTTTTGGAGAGGGAGGAAAGATAATATGAGCAAAGGGGTCAAGACAATGTTAGGAAAACCCTCATAAACAGCTGATCTGAGCTAGTGGGACCTCACTCACTCCAGACTGACAGCTGGGGAATCAGTATAAGACAGAACTAGGACCCCTGAATGTGGGTGACAGTGGGGGGGGCGCTTGTGCAGTTTATGGGGCTGTTAGCAGAGGAACCAGTGTTCATCCCTAGTGTGTGAATTGGGTTTTTGGAGCCTATTCCCTTTGGAGGGATACTTTGCTCAGCCTAGATACAGAGAGAGGACCTTGGTCCTGCCCCAAATAATGTGACAGACTTTGATGATTCCCAATGGGAGGTCTCATCCTCTCTGAGGAGTGGATGGGAGGTTGGGATGGGGAGATGGTGGGGGGAGTGGGAGGACAAGGGAGAAGTAACTGGGGATGGTATGTAAAATAAGATTAAGTTAAAAGTAGAAATAAAAGATACATAAAATAATAATGAAGAATATGGTCTCTTCCCACAGTGCACATTTTCTTTGAAGATATAATCATGCTTCAATACAAGATGAACTTTTGTCATGTGAAGAGTCAGCTTCAACTTTACCATTAGGACCCATCTGTGGATCCTATTGGATGCTATGTGGCCTTCGGGACTGGATCCTATTGGATGCTATGTGGCCTTCGGGACTGGGCTGTACAAGTCTGTACAGATTTCTGATCCAGAAGGAGAAAACAGCCGGTTGAATCTGAGGATGTGTTTCTTCTCACATCTTCTTCTCTAATCATTACAGTCTCCTCACCACATGCCCCGTAATCCATCTCTACATAGAGAAGCCACTGGGACACAAGGAGTTGGTGTGCTCCTTGATTGTAGTGATAGATGGTGTTGCCCAGAGTTCCTGGATATACAAGTATCCTCCTGGCACCTTAAATTATTCTGTCAAGCCTTTCTTCTCAACCAAATACACATAATCACAGGAAAATATAATCCTAATCTTGTACTTAAGTGGTTTTTGTTAAGTATGTGCTTTGTATTGCTTTTATTGCTAGTAAATAATAAATACTATTGAATATAAAGTTAATTGACTGTTTCCTTTCAGTCTGTGGTCTGCATGTTCCACCAAAACCATTTCCTTTCAAACAGGATTTGATTTTTTCTATTTTCCAAGTTTATTTTTTTATCTTTAAACACTTATTTTACATACCAATCCAAGTTGTCTCTCCCTCCTATTGTCCCATCGCTCCACCATGTCCCCATCCCACCCTCCATCCACTCCTCAGAGAGGGTGAGGCCTCCCATGGGGAATCATGAAAGCCTGTCACATTATTTGGGGCAGGACCAAGGCCTTCCCCCTGTATCTAGCCTGAACAAGATATCTCTCCAAAGGTATAGGCTCCAAAAACACACTAGGATAAACAGGGGTTCCTCTGCCAGCAGCCCCATAAACTGTACAACCCCCCCCCACTGTCACCCACATTCAGGGGTCCTAGTTCTGTCTTATACTGATTCCCCAGCTGTCAATCTGGAGTCAGTGAGGTCCCACTAGTTCAGGTCAGCTGTTTCTAAGGGTTATCCCAACATGGTCTTGACCCCTTTGCTCATATTATCTTTCCTCCCTCTCTAAAACTGGACTCCAGGTTTTCAGCCCAGTGCTTAGCTGTGAATCTCTGCTTCTGCTTCCATCAGTTATGGGAGGAAGGCTCTAGGATGACAATTAAGGTAGTCATCAATCTAATTATAGGGAAGGGCAGTTAATCACTCTCTCCACTATTGCTTAGATTCTTAGTTGGGTTCAACCTTGTGAATTCCTGGGAATTTCCCTAGTGCTAGGTTTCTTAACCCCATAATGACTCCCTCTATCAAGGTATCTCTTTCCTGCTCTCCCTCTATGCCCTTCCCCCAACTCAACTTTCCTGATCCCCTTTGTTCTCTTCCCCACTCCCCTTTTCCTCTTCCCACTCTCCTAGTACCCTCCCCCTTGCTCCTAAGTTACTCAGGAGATCTTGTCCCTTTCCCTTTCTGGGGGACTGCTGGGTCCTAGGGCAGGTAGGCCTGGGGAAGGGCTCGTCCAGCCTGTCTCTTCCTGGGTCTGAGCAATTAGAGAGTGTCAACGACCCAGACTCTGCTCCTAGTTACCAGAGAGGACCACACTGAGTTGGGAGACTTGTCGAAGCAGGATCTCTCTTTATTGCATTAGGCAGGTACTTATATAGGGTTGAGGAAGTGGGTAGGGACCTCAGGATGATATGAGGTGTCTGGGCCAACAATATTTCACCATGTTAGCAGTAGCTGAGCAGAGGCAGTTTCGCTGAGTCACTCCTATGTGGAAGTTATAGGCCAAAGACAGATCGACAAACACTAGCCAGGTTCAGGAAGCTCCACTAGGCCTTGTGTCTGGGCCTTTTTAGGCTCAACAGGAGGCATTCATGTATAGCACTCTTAGAGTCCTCCTTGTTTCCTGGCTTCTCTGGTGTTGTGGACTGTATACTAGTTATACTTTGCTTTATGAGTAAGTACATACAATATTTGTCTTTCTGTGTCTGGTAACCTCAATCAGGATGGTTTCTTCTAGTTCCATCCATTTGCCTGTGAATTTCAAGATGTCATTGTTTTCTTATAGCTGAGTAGTGCTCAATTGTGATTTGTGCCACATTTCCTTTACCTATTCTTCAGTTGATGGGCATCTAGGTTGTCTCCAGGTTCTGGCTATAATGTACAATGCAGTGGTAAACTTAGTTGAACAAGTGTTCTTGTGGTATGATTGAGCATTCTTTATGGATATGCTCAAGAGTGGTAATGCTGAGTCTTGAGGTAGATTTATTCCCAGTCTTCTGAGAAAGCACTATATTGATTTCCAAAGTGACTGTACAAGTTTGCATTCCCACCAGCAATGGAGGAGTGTTCCCCTTACTCTACATCCTCTCCAGCATAAGCTTTTATAGGTGTTTCTGATCCTAGCCATTCTGAAAGGTGTAAGATAGTATCTCAAAGTTGTTTGATTTGCATTTCCCTGATAACTAAGGATGATTTTTTTGTTTCTTTGTTTTTGCAAACTTGTCAGAATTATTACTTACGACTAAAACTTTAGTTCAGTTTTATGTTGGGCGCTGCCCTGGAACCACGCCATGGCAAGATGGCGCTGACATCCACCTGAGAGTTGCTATAACAACCCTGCTGCGCATGAGCAGGAGCTCCCTGCCCACGAGGCCGGGGGTGCCTGTGCCTTACGTCACCTCGGGTGACATAATTGAACCAGTAAATAACTGCCACGTCCGAGGCGAGAGAAATCCTCTATATAAGGAGAGTCCCGTTAGGGCGTGGGGTCTTCGCTTTGTGATAGCTTATGCTCCCCCTCTCAGGGGCAATAAAGCTTACTGCAGAAGGATCCTGATCGTGTGCCGCGTCATTCTTGCGGGCGAGATAGAGCGCGGGACAACTGGTGCCGAAACCCGGGAATAAAACTGACCAAGCCATCGTCCGCACCATCGAAGACCCCTTGGAAACGAGGAGGATTCAGAACTGCAGGCAGGTAAGTTCGGAGAGGTATGCTGATCTGGGACTTTGGTCTGGGGTTGTCTCCGCCTTGGGAGGGTTTGCCTGAAGCAATCGTCCTCCTTGGTATTGTTCTTGTCTTCTTTATACTGGTCACCTAAGCCTCCTGTAGATAAAGGGGCCTGAACAGTCTCTTCTGTCCTTTGCTTTCGTTTTTCCCCATTTGCTGTAAGACGGACGTAGATAAGCCGCGAGCATCTGTACCATTGGTAACGGTGGTGATTAGTCAGACGTAGGTAAGCTGCAGCCACCATGGGGTCCTCTCAATCCATATTAACTACCTTGGAGACTGTATTAAAGCAGAGAAATATCAAGGTTGACAGAAAGACGTTACGGAGCTTTGTCAAGGAGGTCGATCGTGTGGCACCCTGGTATGCCCTTTCTGGCTCTCTCACCCTGGCATCATGGAATAAGTTGGGGAGGGATCTTGATCGACACCTAGAGCAAAGAGACCTAAGGAAAGGGACCAAGGCAGTATGGAAACTAGTGAAGAACTGTATTGAGGATGAAGCTTGCCAGGCGGCCGTTGTAGAGGGTCAGGCCATTCTCGAGGTAGCCCAGGATAGTATGTCAGAAACCGAACGTAGTGAGAGGTCAGGCGCGCGCGAGAAAACGGTGGTACACAAAAGAAAAACTAAGAAAAAGAGCCCTCCTGTTTTAGGAGAGAACATTATAGCAAAACCAGATGCCCTTCCTGGCCTTTCCACTAAAGGGACAGGTCAAATGTATCCTTTTAAAGAACTGGAGGCGCTGAACCTCGGCAGCTCCGCTAGTTCTGAGTCTTCTGATTCCGAACAAGACTCTCTAGACCCTGGAGATGAGACAGAATTAGAAGAAGAGGCTGCAAAGTACGAGGCGGAGAGATATCACCCGGATGGGGAGTTTTTCTCTAAACTGCTACCCAAGGGCAAGGCCTCAGCAAAAGCAATAGCAACTCCATCTGCTCCGCCTATGCCGCTCTCTCCCCCCTTATGAAGGGCGTTTACATAGTTTCTCCTTTTTACCTGAAAAAATTAGAAGAAAGGTCCATCTCACCTTCCCGTTTTCGAAGTAGAGAATGGAGGGCGGGTACATACTCCGGTTGAGTATAAACAGATAAAAGAATTGGCAGAATCGGTTCGTAATTATGGACCTAATGCCAACTTTACTATTATGCAGATAGAAAGGCTTGCCTTGGATCCCCTAACTCCTGCCGATTGGCAGATGGTGGTGAAGGCAGTATTACCAAATATGGGGCAATATATGGAATGGAGAGCATTATGGCATGAGGCTGCCCAGTCACAGGCGAGGGCTAACGCCATAGCACTCACCCCAGAGCAGAGAGAATGGAATTTCGATCTGCTTACAGGACAAGGAGTCTATGCTGTGAACCAAATTAATTACCCTTGGGGCGCATATGCTCAAATAGCCACCCTGGTAATTAGGGCATGGAAGTCACTTACGCAGAAAGGGAAGGCAGGTGGACAACTTACCAAGATTATACAACAACCTCAGGAGCCGTTTTCCGATTTTGTGGCAAGAATGACGGAAGCGGCAGGAAGAATTTTTGGAGATACAGAGCAGGTTAAGCCGTTGATAGAACAGCTCATCTTCGAGCAGGCTACACAAGAATGTAAAACAGCAATTGCCCCTAGGAAAGGAAAAGGTTTAGATGATTGGCTCAGGGTATGCAGAGAACTCGGAGGACCGCTTACTAATGCAGGCTTGGCGGCTGCCATTCTTCAATCACAAAGAAAGCCGACGGGCTTCAAGGATTGGAGGCTCTGTTTTAATTGTGGAAAGCCAGGGCACCTAAAAAAAGAATGTCGAGCTCTAAAAAAGGGTCAGGATACTATCTGTGCCAGATGTGGGAAAGGCTACCATAAGGCAAGCCAATGCAGATCCATAAGAGACCTTAAGGGCAATCTCCTTCCCCCCCGTAAACCAGGTACAGCTGACCAAGAGCCAAAAAACGGCCAGGTGGGCCCCCGATCCTGGGGCCCGCAAAGATACGGGACTCAGTTTGCCAAGGCCAGTTCCGAGGAGGAGACGACTCCACAAGAGACGTCAGGATGGACTTGCGTGCCGCCACCTCAGTCCTACTAATGCCACATATGGGGTCCATCCAGTGCCTGCGGCACCTTTGCATCCCCCATTGCCTGATGGTATGATAGGACTTATAATAGGCCGTGGTGCCCTTACTGCGCAGGGACTAATTGTACATCCTGGAATAATTGATAACCACCATATTCCAGATATTCAAATTCTTTGTTCCAGCCCCCAAGGTGTTTTCTCCATCCATAAGGGGGATAGGATAGCTCAGCTTGTATTGCTTCCAGCAAAAGATCAAATTTCACAAGATATAAAGGGTCCGATGGGATCCACAGGGACGGACTCGGCCTATTTAACTGTGGCACTAAATACAAGGCCTAAGTTAACTCTTAGAATTAATGGCAAAAGTTTTGAGGGCATTCTGGATACAGGGGCTGACAAAAGTATTATTTCAACACATTGGTGGCCAAAAAGTTGGGCGGTCACACAGTCC